CACCGTTTTCTGGGAACACCGAGAACTGAAACAGTAAGACAAAACCAGGGTGCCGGGGGGCTCAGTCGGTGAAGTGCCTGCCTTCGGCTCAGGTCACAATCCTGGAGTCCTGGGATCGAGCCTTGCGTTGGGCTCCCTGCTCAGCAGGGGGTCTGCTTCTCCCTCTCCCGCTCCCCCTCCCCACTCCTGGTGCATGCACTTTCCCTCCCTTTCTTCCAAAATAAATAAAATCATTAAAAAAAGAAAGACAGAAACAAGACCACGCCCTTCCCACCAAGACCCCAGAGCTTCTACCACCCCAAGGTGTTTCTGGGCAGCTGGGCCACGGCACCCGCTCAGACACGTTCTTAAGCAGCGCACCCAACAGCCCCTGCTCCTCACTGCAGGCAAGGCTGAGCCCAGGATCCCTCCTCCTCCTCAGCCTGGGGGCCTGGCCAGCCGGGCAAAGCTGAGCTGGGGCCCCTCTGTGCTGGGAGGAGGGGCAGGGACAGAGGGCAGGGGTGCACAGCGGGGCCCCCAGTGTCTGCGCACTGGGTGACAGCTACAGCAGCAGGCACCAGCAACAGGAAGGGCCCTGGCCTCAACCAGGCCTTGTGGCCCAACAGGAAGGACAGAGTGTCCCTAGTGTCCTGGTGGCCACCAAGACCCAGGGGGACCTTGGCTGTACACACGGAGCTAGGAGACAAGGGCCTCACGTCGGAGCTGCTCCCCAGGGCCTGCCTGCGACACTCACCTCAGGTAGCGGCGAACAGGCTCGCAGGCCACCTCTAGGATGACCATGGATGGGTCCAGCACACGCAGGGCCTTGATGGCAGATATGTAGAGGGTGATGATGTCGCATGTGTTCACGCCTACGGCCAGGAGGGAGGACGGTGGTCCGCGCAGCACCCGGGAGCGCTGGCCCGACAGCACACAGCTGCACCCCAGCCGGGTGGGCTTCTGGCTGCCCCTGTGACCTCACTCCCCAGGGTACCAGCGTGACGTGCGGGAAGCGGCCCCCTTCTCCCCCAACTCTCGGGGGCTTTCCCCAGAACGTCCCTGGATCCCAAACCCCCTCCCTCGGTGGCCGGTTCTGTGGGGATCACGCACCCCTCTGCCCGCAGGCCACAGTCCTCCCTTCCTGCGAGTCCTTCAAGGGAGGATCAAGCCAAGCACCCCAGCCCCCCCGAGGACTGCACAAACCCACTCCCCACACATGCCCTGGCGCAAGGAGGCCGGACCCTTGGCTGTAGCCTCAGCACCTGGATGGAGGAGACGTGTCTCCAGGGCAGCCTTGAGGGACAGGAGCAGCTGCTGCCTCTGGTCAGTCCTCTCCAGGCAGTACTTGAGGTCCTCGACGGCTGGCCGGGAGTCTGGGAAGTCTGCAGAAGGGCACCAGACCTTGCATATGTACGCCAGCATGCACGCGCTCTGCATGCAAGCGAGGACACAAGTGGGCAGGGCCCCGAGGCTGAGCTGCCGGACCTCCGCCCAGCAACACTGCGGGACACCTGCTAGGGGCTCCAGGTCACCCCTGCACCCTCCTAAGCCCACAACCCCCCATGGTGCAGAAGGACAACGCAGGGACATGAAGCTGGAAGGATGAGCGTGGACACCCAGAAGCAGTGTCCGCTGCCCTGTCACCCCTGCCCTGACCCAGACACTGAGCTGGGGCAGCCCACGCTGACGGGCCCCGGTCTGCTAAAGGGCCCCAGCCCCAAGGACCTCTCACTGCCTGCCAGATCTGAAGGGCTAGGGCCCAGGGAAGGGGGCTCCTCCAGTGCGCAGGGGCCGACCTCGGATGATGCTAAAGAGCTCCTCGATGCGCAGGCTGGCGTAGATCCGGTAGAAGAACCGCTGCACGTGGCAGCGCCAGCGACGCAGTGTGTTGCCAGCTTCAGGGGACGCAGGCCGGGCCGGGCCATCCTGCAGGAATACCTTGCCCAGCCAGCCCACCACCCTCTCGATCCACTGTTGGAAGAGCACAAGGATGGGGAGGTAAGGAGCTGAGCCCCAGCCTGATGAGCAGTGGCCGGGAGAGGCCGCACAGCTAGCTAGCCACCCTGCGGCCAGTCCTGGGGAGTCCCCAAGGCCGCCTGCTACGCAGTAGGACACATCAAAATCAGCAGGATAATGGGCCCAAAGGGGCACCCCAGGCCTTCTCTCACTGTGCCCCACACCTTCAGAGCATCAGTGCCCAGACATCTCTGGCAACAGTGGCTCTGACGCAGGGCATGGAGAGTGCGCTCCCCTGACTCAGTGGACAGACACCGCTGGAAACCATGTACCCAACTAGCCACGTGTACACAAGCCCAAGGACCCTTCTGAGCACACGGGCACTTGGCAACGTGACCACGTGGACTCCAGAATGCATACGTTCCCCCACCAAGTACACAGCCACTGATGAGAGTATCTGGATGTCCTGCCACCGGGGGAAACCCAGGTGTCCCAGCCAGGCCTCTGGGCTCATGCCCATCCGAGACCATGGCTGCAGGGGCACTGGCTCTGATTCCCCATCACGCCTGATCTGTGTTCTCAGGAGACGGTGGAAGAGGATAGGCCAAAAAAAAAAAAAAAAAAAAAAAAGAGCAGGCTGGACAGTCCCCTGTAGTGGGACCCAGCACCTCCACAACCCTGCGGCATCCAGAGCAGAGCCTCAGACCATGTCCCTGACAGCATGGGTGCCCTGAGAGCTGTCACAGGCACACCCCAGACCTTGACACTGCTTCTAGCCAAGGGATTCCGCACAGACCTCGCTGCACACGTCACGGGCTCTTTCTCGCTGTTACCAGGGCAGAATGGGAAGGGTCAGCCTTCACCCAGCACCAAGGCAGCTTCACCCACCAACCAGGCCCTAGTTCACCCAAGTCTCCATACTGCTTCTAAAACCAGGGGTCGGGTCTGCCAGAAACCTTGTCTACAACCTCCGAGGGAAAGGGCCCATGGGGCTGTCCTTACCTTGTGGAACTCACGCAGAAAGGAGCGCTCATACTCGCCCCGGCATCGGTCCTCCATCCTCTCCCTGGTCACCTGGTGCAGGGTGCTGGTCACAGCCTCGGCACTGACCCGCTCCAACAGACTGAGCCTGTGCCTGGAGGAGAGTCCTGCCTGTGGGGCACGCAGACCACACTCCTTTCCCCCCTGGTGCCCTCAGTAACAAAGCCTTCCAGAAAAGCTGCTGGGAGGACAGAGCCCTGCCCGCCCCAGCTGACTTCTCTGCCCAGGCTGAGACACCGGCCTTCCCCTTGTGAGCAGTGGGTGTGGCTCTCAGGGCCAAAGCCTCAATTCCTCAACACGGCTCTGGAACGGCAGGTAAACGTGCCTCATGGACGCAGCCATCCCCAGGCTGGTCTTGTGCTGCGGGCCCTGGTCAGCAAGGGTGGCGGCACTCACGAGGACAAAGCACGGTGCTGTGCTCCCTTCATCTGGGACGAACCCAGCAGAAGCCGTGCGGGGCCTCCCCGCCCCTACCAGCAACAGGACCACCCCTCCCTAATCGCTGTCTGCTGCTGCCTCACTTGAGATGACAAGACCGTTACAAACAACCACGAGCGACGAAAGGCCCACAAGTCAGAACGCGGCTTTAACAACAACAACGTCCCTTCCACTTTAAAAGGCTGGAAAGGCCGTCTGCTTGCCCAGCATGCTGGCCTAGTCCCCAGCTTGTACTGGAAAGAACAAAACCAGCAAGCCCACTGTTGGCAATTACAGGAAAACAGAGGCCATCCCTTTCCTGGAGAACCTACGCAAGGCGCAGCAGACATCTGTGTGGCCCAGGGCCCGTGGAATCCCGTAGGCTCTCAGGGTACGCAGAGCGTGAAACCTGGCGCCGGCGTGAGCAGCAGAGACACACCGGTGTCCGGGATAGGACGCACAGGCTCCCAGCACAGAGATCCCGGGGACCCTCCCTGTGCCACGGCCAGCCAGCCGGACCCAGGGCGGTAAGGGAGAGTCCGGAAGAACAGAGGCGCGAGTACTCACAGGACCTGGCTGAGCTGGTGAAACTGCTCCAGCGCCTGGCGGCACCAGCACCGCTGCTTGTCACTGCCACACCCAGCGCACAGCGGGCTCTGCAGAAGCCGGTAGTACCGCCGCCGCGCGTACCTGCTGTCCAGGTCCCCCTCCAGCTCGGGGTCCGTGCCCCCCTCCCCCTTCCTCTTACTCTGCATGTACACTTTCAAAAACCGGCCGTAGAGGCGCTGAATCATGTCCTGAAAGGTCCTGGGAGTGGAAAAGAACAGGACGCCGCGCAGCGTGGTGTGGACCTTTTCCCGCAGCCCCTGAGCGCCAGCGCCCATCAGCAAGCCCAGGCGCGTCCACTTCTCCAGGAGCTCCAGACTACGCAGGTAGGGGTCCAGCCGGCTCTCCAAGAGACCGAAGGCGTCCAGGAGAAGCAGAAGGCACTGGGGCTCGTCTGCGCAGTTCTCGCGCTGGGAGATGGTGTTCCAGAACTCCAGGGAGATGTTGGCCTGCAGGTCGTTCTGCAGAACCTCCACGAACCACTCCTCCAGGACCGAATGCAGCCCATGGCCCCGCAAGACCTCCACCGCCGCCCGCAGCTCCTCCTCCTTGGGCGGCACCGCTCCGCTGGTCCGGGAGGACGCCTGGAGTGCACAAGGCCGTGAGGACGGAATACAGGGTGGGGGTGGGGAGTGGGAAGGGCGGAGACAGGCAGGAACCAGCGGCGAAGGCACAGAGCGCAGGGGGAGCTGCGGCCGACGCAGGGGAAGGGCTGCCCGGGGCGCCTAACGGACCCCTGGCTGGTCGTCCCGGGAACCCCGCGCGGGCCCGCTACCCTCTTCCGGGGCCTCACCAGTCCCAGAGCGGCCGGCGGCACCAGCCCGGTGCTCACGGTGTTCCAGGCCACCAACAGCTCCTGTGCAGGCCCGGGGTCGCCATCGCATCCCGCCGCCGCCATCTGTGCGCCCACCCGCTTCCCGGAGCCGACGGGAGCGGCGCGCGGCGATGACGCACACGAGAGGCGCGCGGCGGTGACGTAGCGGAGGGCGCGCGGTCGGAAGGCAGCGCGCAGGCGCGAGCGCGGGGTTCGGGGGGGCGGTAGCGGCGGTTGGAGTGGTCGTGGCCGCGGCGGCGACCATGACCCAGCAGGGCGCGGCGCTGCAGAATTACAACAACGAGCTGGTCAAGTGTGAGCGGCCGCGCGGCGGGGTTCGCCGGGCGGGCTGGGAGGGCGCGGGGCTGGCCGGCTTGCAGGCCTAGGTGGCTGCGGGCCCGCCGTGCGGGGCCGAGCCGGGTGCACGGTCTGTGCGTGGGGGTCTCGGCTTGGACGGCGCCGGAGGCCGTGCGGGGCCGCAGCCGCCGTGCGGGGCCGCAGCCGCCTGGCGCTAGGTGTGTGCGCGGCGAGCGCGGGAACGCACGGCTGGAGCGCGTACTGCCTCCCAGGCGCTCGCCGGCGGGTCTGTACGGGGCTTCCCTTGACCCTGGAACCCCTAGGAGGTGGGACACTAGCCTGGCTCGGGGGCAGGTGGCCCGGCCAGTCCTGGGCCCTGCAGCACGCTACCCTCCTAGCAGGCGGTGGGCTCCAGAGAGGGACGGCAGCTGCCCTCCTTCCTGCGCTGGGTCCACAGCGCCTGCCCCCCGGGTGCCCCCGTCCCCGCAGGCATCGAGGAGCTGTGCCAGAAGCGCGAGGAGCTGTGTCGGCAGATCCAGCAGGAGGAGGACGAGAAGCAGCGGCTGCAGAACGAGGTGAGGCAGCTGACGGAGAAGCTAGCTCGGGTCAATGAGAACCTGGCGCGCAAGATCGCCTCCCGCAACGAGTTCGACCGGACCATCGCGGAGACCGAGGCTGCCTACCTCAAGGTGGGGTTCCTGGCCGCCCCCACCAGGTAGAGGGTGGGGGCCGGGGAGCTGCCTGCGGGCGGCAGGAGCTACCCTAGCCTGGCTTCCCAGGGTGTGAGGAAGGGGCTTTGGGCTAGTCTCAGAGGCAACAGGGGCCTTGCTGACCCTGCACGACCCTCCCCTCAGGGGCTCTCTCTCGGTGCTTCTGACCCACCGGCTGGTGCTGGTGTGGCCAGAGCTTCCCGACGGGTGGGACGGTGGTAACCGTCACACGTGTTACAGATCCTGGAGAGCTCGCAGACTCTGCTCAGCGTCCTGAAGAGGGAAGCTGGGAACTTGACCAAGGCCACAGTCTCCGAGCAGAAGAGCGGCGGCAAGGACAGCTGACCGGACGCAGGTGGTCAACAGGTTGGCCTCCAGCACTGTTTCCAGCGTGTCTTGACTTCACGACCGCCTCCTTTCACTCTTTTTTGGGTAGCAGGAGGCTGTTGCCAAGCTCCACCCACCCCAGGTGGTGAGGACAGCCGCCAGCTGGGAGTCCTGGCCCTGGGCCCACGCAGGATTTGGGGAGGGCAGGCTCTGGGTCACTTCTGCTCAGGGCCTGAGATCCCCACACCCGCCCTGTGCTGCCAGAAAGGTCCTGCTCCCTAGTCTCAGCACCATGGCCGCGCACTCACCTTGGTGCCCAGGCCAGGGGAGTGGGCGGGGGGCCCTCCATCTTGGGGTTTGCTCTGGTAGTCTATGACTGTCAGTAAAGATTGTGTTTGTAAAAGTTGGACTACTGCCTGTGGCCTGTGTGTTGAGTGTAGGGCTGCCCGATAGGCCCGGAATCAACATGAGCTGCTGTCCAGCTGTGGCGTGGCTCGTCTTTGGGAGGGAAAGCCCAGAGCAGCTGTTCCTATAACAAGCCTTATTGGCTTTAAAGGCAGACTTGAGCATTTCCTGTGACCTTGTCACCCATCCTTTCTCCCCACCAGGGCTGCCGGCCCCTTTCCCCCAACTCCACTTAGCCTACCCTACTTTCCGGGGGGTGATCTGCCTGTTGGTCCTGGTCTGTGCCATGCCCGCTTACCAGCACGAGGCCTAGCTCAGGGAGATGCCCGCTCGGCACAGGCCCTCCAGACAAGGCTGTGCCCAGCTCCAGGATGCTGAACTTCGCTCAGCCCAGTGACTCTTCTTCCCAACAGGGAAGATCACACCAAGCACGCACACTTCCAGCATTACACGCTGCCTGGGGCCCAGCCCTCCATCCCGAGTCCCCTCTGGGACCATCTCTGCTGGCCTGTCAGCCCCTTTGGGGGGTCCCTGCGGCTACTGCTTCCGGGGCTAGGCAGGTTTGGGAAGCACGTATTGTTTGAGAGGGTCTGGGAAAACCTGGGCCCACCCCACCCAGAAGAACACACTAAAAACACCATCCTCCTTCCCAAGCTTGCCCACGCAGCATTTCTTACGGGCTTGGCTCTCCCGGAGGGACCCCCTTGTGTTCAGTGCCTGGACCGTAGAGAGCCCCAGCTCCCGGCCACAGCTGAGCGTGCGGTTCTGCATCTCCTGCTACCGCTCGCACTGAGCCCAGGGAAGCCGTCTGCCTGCCACAGCCTTGCTGCAGGCTCCTGTGGGCCAGGTAACTTTTCAAGCCACACAGGAGGCTCTGCCCACCCCCTGCCCTCTCCTCGTCCCCTCTCAAGTGCTTGGCCTTTAAGTCAAACCACTCCCATCTGCCAGAGTGCCCCCCACCACAGCTCCCACTACGTCAGCCCTGGATGGGAGAGGGTGGCCCCAGAGGCCAGACGTGCTCACGGGAAGGTCCCTCTCCCAGACCAGGGGGTGGCTGGGATGGGGGGCAGGGCAACTGGGACTGCGGGAGCGAACAGCTGGACCACCAGGACTGCAGCGTGTGGGGGTGCCACACTGGGCCATCCCCGTAGCTGGTCACCAACGTCCTAGTCAGGCTCCCACTGTGCCCTCCCTGCTGCTAGGGGCTCAAGGGAGTCCCCCAGACTCCACCCCTACTCCCTGCTTCTCAGGCCAAGGACCACACGGGAAGGCAGAGGCGGCCTTGTCCAGTGCTATTTATTGAGTCCTTCGTCAAACGCAAGAAAAGACTTGCCATTCGTCACAAAGGGGGTGGGCTGAGGTCTGCTGTTGGGGGTTGTGGGCAGGGAAGGGCTTGAAGTTCCAGAAGACAGGCAGCCAAGCCAGCCCTTCACACACATCGGACAGCTGATGGGCACGGTGTCCAGCAGGACCCTGTCCGTCCTCCACAGGCAGTGCCCCCGAGTCAGGGCTGGAGGGCGAGCCTCCCCCCAAGGGAGGTAGGAGCCCCCAGGGCCCTAGGCTCAGGCCGAGCACCAGCACAGTTGTGAGGCCCCAGGAAGGGAGGGTGGGATGTGGCAGGGCAGAGCCTGACAGGGCAGAAGGGGGTGCAGAACGAGAGCAGGGCTCCTGGGCACTGCCCAGCTCCCAGGGCTCAGCCTTGGCCATCCTGGCAGGGCCGGGGTCAAAAATAGAGAGCAGGCTCACTGCGGTAGTCTGAGAGGTCACTCTGACTGGCAGGGGTGAGCTGAGAGAGAGGGACACAGAGGGAGCCGATGGGGCTCATCCAGAGGTTAGGGAGAACCGCCCCCACCCCCCGTCCCTTGCCTGTCCTCCTAGCCCCAGCCCCGCTCACCATGACCTCCTTGGGTGCTGGTTCTGCCTCCCTCGGAGCCTGTACCGGGGTCTGCTGCTGCCATTTGTTAAAGGCCATGGAGTGCTTTGGAGTGTAGCTGGACAGGCCTGCGGGCCAAGAAGCACGTGTGGACGTGTGGCCCAGGCCACACCCTGGGGCACCCACTCCACAGGTGGGCACTCACCTGAGCTGCCGTCCGGCAGGCGAGGGCTCTCAGGCCCCACCCTGTTCACAAAAGTGGCTCGGGGCAGGAGGAGCGCAAAGGGCTTCTCCACCACCCCATCTGAGCTGGACTCCTCCTCCTCCTCTTCCTCTTCCTCCTCCTCGGCCTCGTTCTGGGCCTCAGCCTCCTCCTCCTGCACCAGGGAGCTCTCGGGGGGGTACTCAAAGGTCGTCTGCAGGCGCTTGTCATTGAAGGAGATCTTCATCTATGGGCAGGAGGCACATCAGCGGGGCCCGGCTACCTGGCCACCAGTGGACCTTGAGCCTGACAGCTGGGCCCAGTGACCCCGAAGAACACGGCAGAGGTTGTCAGGCCTGGGCAGGACCTGAAAGGAGGAGGAGCTGCCCCTCATCAGAGACCACTCCTTTCCCTGTATCCTATAGGGCCGGGCCAGAAGGACCCCAGGAGGATCGGGTCTGGATGCCCATGGCAACCCGGGGCCAGTGTGTCCAGAAACCTGCGTCCCAGGCCTAGGCTCAAGTCACCTCGAGTAACCTACCCTTCCCAGGGACCAGATTGTAGCCCCAGCAGGAGCCCAAAGTCTCAGGGTCTCCAGAGCTTCTACGGCAGCTCCCAGGGTGGAAGGTCTGCCTTCTCAAGGCAGCACCAGCCACGCTTCCTTCCTAGCGGCTCTGCTACGGCAGGAGCAGGGTCCAGGTGAATGTACTTCGGGGCCCGCACCCTTGGAGGCCCTGCCTTCCCAGCGGTGAGCAGTCCCCACTGTCGGCTAGGGCCTCTCTCAGGGCTGAGCTCACATCTTGGCTCACCAGCCCCCTGAATGAGGCACCTGCACAGTCCAGCATGGACCACCATGGCTGGGCAAGGACTGGGCACACCCAAGCCCCGGGGTCCCCACGAGGTGACAAAGCAGGTTGGCTGGCACACCTAAGCCCCAGGAAGGTGGCACCAAGGGCCATCACCCTGTTTCACAGACTGCCTCAGAATTAGAACAAAGCTGCCCCCCCGTGGGGGCTGTGGTGACCCTTTCCTCCCATCTGGACTACCGTCTGGCCCTAGTGCCCTCGTCCACTCTGCAGGCCGTAGAACTTCACGCCTGAGCAAATCCTCTCCTCTCCCACCGGCCTCAGAGTCCAGGCCAGGCTGCTGGTCCTGAGAGGAAGCGGGGTCAGGAACGAGCAGGACTGCAGGCAGACCTTCGCCCACCCTGACCCAGGACCCCGTCCCCACAAGAGCCCCAGGCCTGCTCAGCAGTGCCCAGCCAGGCCCAGTGGGCGGGTAATGAATACGAGAGCTGCCGGCCTACAGCAGATGGGACCAGCCCTGCGGCAGCTCGAAACATTAAACTCCTGAGCAAGGACACCAGCAGGCAGCTCAGGTTCCTCCTCCCGCCTTGGAAGGAGCCACAGTCAGGAGCTGGGCCCCCAGGCAAAGAACCATGGGACCTGGGGACAGCAGGACACGGAGGGGCCTCACAGGAAGGCTGGACTTATAGCCTGGGCAGCAGGGGGACCCACGGCACTAGCCTCAGGGGGCAACGCCCAGCGGAGCCAGTGTCCAGAAACAAGGGTACCTCCTCCCATCACCCCACCGCGCTTCTCCCATGGCCACACGAGCACAACCCCACGGCCATGGGCATCCCCTTCTCAGCGTGGCGCACACATGGACATCCACTGGGCAAACCTCGGGCCCAAGCCCCGTCCTCTTTGTCCCAGCCCGCTGCACATACAAGCGGTCACGGATAAGAGCAGACAGGTGCAGACCACCCAGGTCAGCCAAAAGCAAGAGCAGAATACCTGTTCCTGTCACTTGAAGGCGTCCTGTCCCTCTACCTGCCCTGCCCCCCCAGGCCTGCCCCAGCCCTCCAGCTGCATCCCCCTAGGCCTAGCAGGACAGAAGCCCAGGGCAGGATGGGACTGCCAACCCAGGGACCTCCCCCTGCCCCAAGACTCCACCATGAACAGGGCTTCCAGTCTCCTCTGGGTCCACGGCATTGTCCTCAACGACCCTGGGCCCTCCAGGCCCATCCCCCACCACGGAAGACACAGGAAGGGCTGGCTGCCAGGGCCCAGCCGGATTAGCGTGCCCTCATTCGTCCACATGACCAGCTCCTAGTGGGGAGACCGAGGGGGCTGGGCACACATGGGCACTGAGCCTGGCACAGCCTGGTCAGGCGGGGGCAGGGTGGTGCTCCCAGGCCACTATCTGCACCCAGCTGAGGCCCCGGGCTTGGATCACATCCCACTTCCCCTTCAGTCTCCACACTCTACAGCCAGTGGGGGTCACAGGCCTCCTTGGGGGTGCAGGTTGCTGGGTCACAGGACAACCTGTGACGGCATTGGTGGTTCAGTGGTAGAATTCTCGCCTGCCACCCTGTGACGAATGCTGCCAGGAAGGGGCCTTCGGCTCGGGGCAGAGGAACCGGGCGTGGCCGGGGCCGGCACTGGCGCACACCTGGCTGGGGGGGGGGGGCTTCACCCGCTGCGCCAAGTGCAGCCTGCAGGTGGTTTCTGGCTTGGCCCACCTCCAGCTCCCACAGGCCCTTTGCCCCCCTCACCCCGCCCTACCAGTACACACCCAGCTTGGGTTACCGAAGGGCGTCCACCCTGGACTCTGGTCTGAGAGCTGGGTCCAACCAGCCCCTGCCGGCAGTGAGGGATTGCCCTGCCCTCGCTCGCCAGCCCACCTCTGCCTCCTCCCATCCCCCACTCAGTCTGCCCTCTGGGAGGCCACCCCACACAGCCTCTGCCAGAGCTCCCACAGCTGCTTCCCGATCCTCCCAGTCTAGTGCGGCACCGGCCCAGGGCAGACCCTCCACCAGGGTGAGGGGAAGCTGGCGGAGCAGGGGCCAGCCTGCTCCCGTGGCCTCTGGCTCTGGAAAGCCCACTGCAGAAGCCCTACGGGGGCTGGGAAGGGTGAGAAAGG